GTTTCCACATTAGTCTTCAAGTGAGAACTGATCATTCGAGGCTTTATTTCAAAAAGAAGAGGAAGGGCACAGTACCTCTAATCGCTGTATCCGTCCCTTGAAAAACATAAAGAGGGAAGAATTGGGGTAAGCAGCTTCTTTTTTGAGGAGAATTTCCTTTGCTTCATCCAGGCCTGCTTTGTTATCGCTGCCGTCCAAGGCAAAGAAGGGGCGGACTACGGTATGGTACCAGAGCAGCGCCAATCTAAGGGAAGGCGGAGAGAAAGAGTGAGCAAATGATTTTTCTTATGTTGTTAGTATTTTTTAAAAACTTCACACGTGTTTTTCCAACGCACACTCTTTCCAAAAAACTAGGCAGACTTTGAAGAAGTAAAATCAGGGTCTCTCTCCATTGTAATTTTGTCAGTATTTGGAGAAGTGTGACTTCAACACAGTGTTTGAATCATCACACGCTCCCCTCCAGCCGGGGAGATGGTACTAAGGCAAGAGAAGCGTTTAGCTTTTCTGAGCCTTCTAGATGGACTGCTGAAGAGATGACCAATTTAAATCTCTGAAGTCTACACCTTCTCATGAATGCACAATATGAAACCGTTAACTGAATTTACTGTCCCCCGGTAACAAAAGCTTTATCCTTTTTTTGCAAAAGGAAAATGTTCATTTCTCTTTTCAAAAAGGTTGGGTGCAAGGCTAGAATTCAAGTTTCAACATAGAAACCACAGACACAAACGTATTAACTTAGTGACAGGACCAGACAGAAGGCCCTTGCTCTGGCCTGTGAGAATGCGCAAGTGAAAAACCAAGCTGATAAATATGTGACTTAAAATTCCCTTACCTGAAACTCTTTACTTTCAAGAAAAATGTCATGCTGAACTTGGTAAACAAAACAGATTCACTGGGGCCTTTCGTGACCAGAGAAAAATGTTTAGCCAATGTGTCAAACATGTTTATGTAAATGAATACTGCTCATACGCTCCTAAATTTGGTTTTACAAATTTATAGAGCTCATACTAATTACATTATTAACTTCAGATATACGTACAAGTAATACTTTCTCAGGTATAAGTAAAAAATAATATTAAGATGTAGACAGACAAACTGATCACAAGTTATGCATTGGTTAGTTCAGATTAATAAAGGCCTACCCTTTGTGTAAATGAATTTGGAGAGGCACAGCTATTTTCTTTTTTTTT